AAGAAAATTCAAGATGCATAGAGTATTAGTTTAAACACGATTGTAGAAAAATTTGAGTGGGAGCTCTAAAACAATGGGACCTGCAATGGCAGTGGATATTTTTACAACCATCAAAAATAAATGACATGAAGTGAAGAAACTTGTAAGGGATGATGATGAAGCAACCTCTATTTCAAATGTCAGAAGTGAAGTGGCTAAAACAATAGAGAAGTGTAGTGACAAATAGAGACGTGTAGTGACAAAATCATACCATAAAGAATTTTACAAGTTATCTTCATGCACTACAGAGGAAATAAAAAAACTTCAAAGGGTGATTAGTACAAAACCTATAAATCACATAAAGAAGTGTTTTTCATACGCAATATCAAAGAATAAAGATTCTGCAATATTGACAAAAAAACCTTGTAGCTTTTCCCCGTCATTTATTATCAGAAATGTGATGATATCTACAACATCCTGAAACCTGTGTGCCAAGGAACCTTCCTGATGCAAAATGCTTGTCAAACCAGGATCTATTTGACAGACTGCTGGAAATATTTACGACATATGCAGAAAAATAAGACAGATTATTAACATTGGGAAGTACACAAAACAATGAATCTTTCAATGGACTAGTATCAGTGAAGAATCCTAAGAACAATTTTGTGTGAATACACAGAGTAGCATTAGCTATGTCAAAAGAATTTAGAACAAGAGGCCCAAGGGCTTTAACCGTCACCTGAGTATAATACAACTATTTAGAGGATCCATAGAGTATGAAATACTGATAGATGAAGCTTTTGTTGCCCAAAAGCAAGAAAAATAGGATAATAAGGATTAATGAAATAATTGGTTTAGTATTCCGTAACAACTCGTAAACTATCCCCCATTTATCACTATCACCTTGTAGACTATTAACAAACTATTAGTTCTTCTGTACTACTTTTAACTTTCACAAAAGTTGCCGGGATAACATATGATGGAACTAATATATTGAAAAATGGAAAACCAGTACCATGTTATCCACTGGAACATGCACTGTCTAAGTTCCAGGTATTTCTTCAGAAGGTCAGTAATTCTGTTCTGTTTGCTCACAATTGTCAACAGTTTGACAGTGTTTTACTCTGCCAGGCTATGCAGAGTGTGCCAGTTCTAAAATTTGAAGAAAATTTTTTGGTTTCTTTGACAATCTTCACTTGATGAAAGCAATTTTGACACCTCAGAAGAGCTATTTACAAGAAACACTTGTTGATGTCATTTTGAATGAAAAATACGCAGCACATGATGCTCTTGAAGACTGTAAAATAAATATCTACAGAAACTTATAAAGTATCTATTAAATGATGTTTATGTTCAGTATATTTCACATACATTCAATCTACAGTATTTTTGGTTTTTTATTTTTTGATTTTTGGGCAGAAACTCTTGGACAAGAAAATTTAGGAACTTATTGCAAAAAATTGTAAAAAATTTGAAATTTATCTCTTATCTGATTATTTAATTGCAGCAAAGAGAAAATTAATTATATTTTAAGAATTTTTTTTATCATTATACCTAAATATTCAATTAAATTAAAGCCAAATGACAATGTATATACTCTACTGAAACAATATCAACGAATACAATAAGGTGGAGAAAATATGGCAATTTCCAATGGAGAAGAGTTCCTTTACATGGATTCAGATGTTGAGTACATGTAAAATGCTCATTGTTGAAATCTTGATTCATAGATTTATGTGCCCCAATTTTAGCAGAGAAATTTTCTATTTTTGTCATATTTTATGAGAACATTATTCCATTACCGTTCACGGTAGCTCAGTCGGTAGAGCGCTCGCTCCGTGATCGAGAGCTCGTGAGTTCGAATCTCGGCCTCGACTGAGCTAAGTCGATAAAAAATGGGTAGCAACTGTTCATTCGCCATGCGCTCGGCACTTTGAAGTGAAAGTTGCGGGTCCTTCGGATGAGACCTTAAAAACCGAGGCCCCGTTTCACGGCAGGCGTTGGCACGATAAAGATCCCTCACTGTTCAATGGCCCTAAGTGCCGAGTAAAGGTCAAAATTTGAAGCTCTCACCGGGATATGGTTAGGTCTCTATATGAGTGAAAAATTCTCGGATGGGACGTAAACAACATACAATCAATCAATCAATTCTGGATTTTTTTGTCCAAATTCTTACCTCATATGCACAAAAGCTCGATTTCAAGAAATTCCTTAGACCTTTGTCAACTACAGATGTAGTTGATATCTGCACGAAGCGCACTGGACCAAATTGTCTTACCACCCAAAAATGGGAGTATAAATAGGCGAAATTTTCAATGGTCTCCATTTCAGGTCCAGGAGGGCTATTACCAACGGTTATGGGGAATGTTTTGTAGTTGAAATCTTTAAAGAATATGTTAGGAGCACAGGGTTAGTAATATTTTGAGATGGCAGTTTAAATATACGGAGAAATAAATCTAGAATCGAGCGCAATTTTTTGTGCGCAATAAATATACAGTTTTCACTACGGGTGGCACTGTAGCTCTCCGGTCTGTCAATATATTTTTTTTCCGGAGAGCTACAGTTCTGCAGCTATATTGAATTGTGATGGTCAATTTTAATGTGTATGATGATTGACAATTATATCTTCAACAGTATCATTGTACTTGAGCTAGAATGTATAATAATGGAAGGAAGAAAGAAAAATGAGGCTCATGACAAATAATATATTCCCCTAGCATATTGTTTGTGACAAAATTTGAGGGACATACTATATTCTTTCAGGCGAAAGAATAATATGGAGGGTGTGTGTGTCAAAATTCATCTTTTCAGTAAGATTTTTTTTAGATACATGTGACAGGCTTTTACACCATACATATGCTACTGCAACAAAACGGAAGGTTTTTTTTTTTATATCAAAAGGCCTGTAACCAACCATTTAATAAATAATTCCCAACTAAATGAACAGCAAAAAGATGTTTGAGAAAGGAGGGAGGGTCTTTGAAGCCATGGAAGTAGACCTCCAGAAGTGGCATGATGGAGGGAAATTTTAATCTTCAGACGTGGAATGGTGAGGCATCACCTCGGGAAAGAGAGGCAGTTTCCACAACCGAAGACCAAGAAGGCTAGTGAATTTGAGCATTATTCTGTGCAAGACGAAGGACCTGCAGTACCACTTCCAGCCATGCAGGGATTGGAGACACACATAAAAAAAAATTTTAGAAGACAGTCAATATTATTTGTATATTTCTTTTTTTTTTTTTTGTGTAATAACTTTTATTAAATCTCTGAGATTCCGATCTTAACTAGATTTCATCTCAGTACGATAACAAAAAGAAGACATTTCGTGTCCAAGCTATCAAAATGTATGCTGCATCCACAGAGATTTGCATGGATTGAAAACCCATAGCTTGCAAAATATTTAAAATTTTTAAACAAGTTTTTATATTGATAATATATATATATATATATGGAATATTTTTAGAAACTGTATCATAGGATTGTAGAGATTGGAAAATATCTGAAAAACAAGCATTCTGAGAGTATTGCATAAGCAATACATGTCCCCTACCAGTATCTCCCTTTCTTTTAAGGATGTCATTTTACAAGACCTTTTATATGATAACTGCGCCACCACCCCACCCCACCCCCCCCCCCCCCACAAATGTGGACATAACTGCCCCCCCCCCCCACAAATGTGGACAGTTCAGATTACTTGTTTATGAATGAAATGTTGGAATGAAATCTGTCTTACAAAGAAGTGTTTGACTAAAATCACATAATGAATGAATAACATGACAATTACTTACGTTACTCGTTTTCCCTAACCTGGCATTTACCACTCGGTCAAAATCTCTGCCTTCAACTTTTATTAAATAAATAGGGATATAAAAAACAATTCAAATCGTGAAAAATATTCAGTCTTTATTGCATCTGGTATTATTTCGCCAAGTAAATTAAGTATTCGCTTGTACGAATTGCTGAAAACAATGCACAATATTACTTTACCGTCTCCTGTCACAATCGACAACCTTCCCGTTTTTGGAACATTTTAGTGCAGCACGAACCCGATGGTGAACCCGATTATAACAAAACATGTTAATACATTATTTTATCTTTCATCTAACTTTATGCATATGATAAAAAAAATATTTATTTGTTTATGCTGTTATGATTTCATAAAAGCAAAATTAATGCTAAAGTCTTATGTTTTTTTAGAGGTGTGTGTTGTGTTGGTGGGGAAAGGGGGGGGGGGTGTTCAAGTCCTGAAAGTGCAACTATCATGAAATAGTGTTTCAATGGTATATATTAAACAGAATAAACACAAATAAAAGAATAAGTTTCTCATCCTCTAATTTTCAACATGAACACAAAATTGAAACGTATATTAGTGGAAACGCCTTCGTCACAATAGGATGAACCTGCAACATTCCATTAGAAGATAGGACAACCTTTTTTTTTTTTTTTTTTACCAAGTATACACAACTACATATGTTCATAGGTTTCTGACAAAGATCGTAGAACTCTCGACATTTTTTGTTCCTGTTAAGGTATGTCACTCGTGAAATTTGCTATATCAAGGATTTTTTGAGAAGTATATTTTGGATAAGTACTCATATAGTATGATTCAAAATCGCAGAGAAAATAGGGGGTCAGTGTGCATCCATCTTCGCTAGCCAAGGGTTTCCGATCCGAAATCTACTCTACAACCCTTGGCAGATTTAGCTGAAAAAATGAGAACTCGCGCAAACGAATCTGATTGGCTGCAAGGCCCCAGCATACGCAAGAAGTTTACTAATTGACGATTTTCGACTGAATTAAAATTTGTTCGTGTTTTATGTAAAAGTAGTTCATTATTTACTACGATTGAAACTTTTACCGTAATTTATGATAAAAAAAAATAGGGAATAATTAATTTGAAAGTTTTTTCTTTTGTTTTGATATGTTTTTTTCAGATATTATTCAAAGACCGCATTAGTACGAATTCCGCATTTTAGACACATCAATTTAAGCCAATCAAACGCCATGGCTCATTTATAATAATGGATGCGGCCATCTGTAGAACATGTTGTCAAACTCTTGACAAAAAATCACGAAGAACGATTTTTTCTACTACATTTGAGGTCTTCCAACAGCTGTATGAGGAGTTGGGTTATATTCCACACGAAAATGACGGATCGTCTAAGTATGTTTGTTATCGTTGTTATGCTAAGTTGAAGAAATTATCTAAAATTGACTACGACTTATTACACAAGTTGGATGAACTAAGAAAGGAAAAAATTGAGTTGATAAAATCTCTGCGTGAAAATCTTACTTTAGACAATGTAGAGTTAACTAGCGTAGGTGTGAATGTGAGCGCAAGTTTCACTACCCCTGCAGAGTTAGGAACAAGCAAAGATGTATTTAGTGAAGAAGATGGATCAAAGAGAAGTAGACCTTTGATACATTCTCCAACTCCACGAAAAGTAAAGAGGTGTAAGCCAGGTGAGATCAAACTCTTTATATTATTTTAGCACTTATGTAGCTGTAATGTGCAATTAAATTTGTAATTTTGACATTTCTCATAAAATATTGCACCGTTTGATATGTTGCCAACTTGTCGCAAGTTCATCAAGATTAATGTATACTAACTTCATTACCTGGATCAAGGTTTCCTACTAATAAGTAAAGAAATACCCTCTTTACATATTAGAAAGTATAAATATTCATTAACCAAGGACCAAAGTACAGGTGATATAAGTTCATTGCCATGCCACTATAGATACATCTTTATAAGTACTGAAACATTACATTATTATTACATGTGTTATTATTTTTTTAAGTATCCTAATTGTGGAATTTTTAATGCATTCTAACAGGTTTGACAAAGACTCCAGAGAAACTTCGACAACCACGTATAAAACTGTTTACACCTAGTAAAATTAAGGTAAATGCACATGACACTAACCAGTACAACAGAAAGTTTAAGTAAATAGTAGTTTTAGAAAAATGTGAGTGAAAAACAATTGAATTTAACATTGGATTGTATGCATTGTTACGATTTTTATCTTGAATTTGAAACAATACTCTGCACCAAACTTCTTTGAAGCTAGCAGCAGCTTTTTTTATTGTTATTATTATTTATTATTAGATATTGAACTCTGAACTAGGTATATTAAATGATAGTCATCAATGTTTTCATTTAAGAAGTGTAATTAGGGAGAGGACCAAATATGCTGAGCCTGTTGCCCAATCCCTTTCACTTCTGTGAAAAAAATATTGTTTTAATACAATTAATGCTTTTATTTATTTGATTTTCATTAGTTACATTAACATGGTTTTTCTGCAGTTTTGCAACAAATAAAAGCTGATCAATTTTTAGAGAAAAGTGCAAGCAAAGTGATCTGAAATGAAAGATTGTAACTTAAAATTGTAAATAATTGTTTTCTGTTGGTTATAACTGTATGGTTTTTGTTCACTATTATGTAACACTTTGCATACAGCTTTGCTTCATTTGTAGGTGTTGTTCAACGCTGGAAAACAGATCAAGTGTAGAATTGTAAAGGATGCTGAACTTAGACAAGTGATCAAAGCCATTTCCAGGGGACAACCCAAAAGACGCATAGCAAAGTTTGCATACAATTCTTCACTTAAAGAGGAGCTAGCAAAGTTTGTTATTCATGACATTGAAAAAGACATTACAGAGCTTACCTCAAAGAAATCCAATTGTTGTCTAAGGAGTACAGAATGTGACAATTTATCAAGTTTCAAATTTGAGAAATTGCTTTTCGAAGTGCAGTTATATGCTCCTCTGTTATATAAGACACTATCGCATACTCTCAAAGATTCTGTTGGAGTAGCAGTTACAACAGCCATAATTGCAAGAAACAGGAATATGCACATGTCTGCACTTCATCATATTATTGCGCAAATTTTGGATCACAGTGGAGCAACAGATGAGGTAAACTGGTGATACAAGATGATGGATGTTCTCCATTTTATTTTCTTAAAAATATTAGTTAGTAAAATGGAATGCATAGAATTATACATGTATATATATACATATATAGAACAGGCTTAATGCATGTATACATACACTGTTTTACTTGTTATGGCATACTTTATTATGGCCCTCATCAAGACAAACCTCAATAGAAAAATGTATTTGTCAGCATTTTATTAGATGGAAATCTCAAGAATGAATGTTCCGACATGCATCTTTCATATTCTATCCACGGCAAGGTTTAATTCATAGATAGCAGAAGATGAGACAGAGATGTTTTAACTTTCAATGCTGTGTTAGTGCTAAACTATCCAGTTACATTTCATTTCAAAATTCTGTATTTGTGAAAAAAAAAAATTAAGATTGAGCCAAAATTTTATGACTAGATTCTTATTGCAGTGTATTTCCTTGTTCCAAAAGTTGGGACTAAGTGTGTCCTCCTCTGCAGCAGCAAAGAAGAAGGTGGATCTAGCAGAATACCAGAATGAACACATCAACTCTACAGTTATCAATGAAAAGAGAGAACTTGAAACTTCAGGTATGGGTGATGCGAAATCCTCAGATATAATTGGGGATAATTTCGATATTTCCAAAAGCCCTTCAAATATGAGTAAGGAAAAGGAAAGGAAGAGTCTGCATTGGTTTCTGTTAATAGGTCTGCAAAAACGAATTGTTGACAACAGTTTAAGCAATCAGCTGCCTTCTGTATCAATCACTGAAATAAACAATGATGTATTTATTCCAACACGTTCAGATTGTGAGTTTTTAGAGGAGAACTGTTTGTTTCACATGATGAAAACTATTGTTAAGTATGTAGGGTGTTTCAAAAAATATGCCCCATTCATACCAAAGGTAATTAATCACCCTCATCTGAATGAAATGTCCATGAAGTCTGACTTTGTGATTCTTGATTTGTTGGACAAAAGTGAAAATAAAAGCGAGGACATGATATCAATACTAGAACACATCCACATGAAGTATATTGCCCACACTTCTGATGAGAATCCAAAGGTAATTAAGAAGAAAGTGTTTGGTGGAGATGTCTTAACAAACGAAAGAGCTTATAGTGCTCAATTAGCAATGCTGAATGGCAGGTCCGAGTTTGATCAACTGGCAGGTGTTATTCACAGACCAGAAGGGTTGCATCGTATGATGAATCTTTGTTTGGTAATAGCTAAAAAGTTCAGTTGGTTGCTGTTTATGGTTTTAAAAGGTATTTGATTTTGTTGGTTTCTTGAGTTTCATTTGTGTATTAAATCAAGATAAATGAACCATGTAGTACAGGAATCAAAGGTTTTCAGTTTAGTTCTCTCAGTGTGAACTTATCGATTTACAATACATTCATTTGATTGCATTTTAGGTCTAAATGATCACAGATTAAATTTTAGGATATCAAATTTAATGATTTGTGTCTCAGGGACCCCAGATGCTTTACCTATCTTGTGCTTTATTTCATAAAGAGGAATTCTACAATATAAACTTCTTGTACAGAGATTGATCTTGATTATTTTTAATTTTATTGGCTATATTTGGGGGGAAAAAATGTTTAATTTGAAAAAAAAAATATCCTCCTGACATGGAGTATTTATTCATAATCAGTGTTCTTACATGTTAAGATATTTTATTTCTTATTTAAGAGTATTCAATTAATGTACTTATTTAAAATCAGTGTTTCATGTTAAGATATTTTATTTCTTATTTAAGAGTATTCAATTAACTAACACATTTCAGATTTTTATTTAATGTATTTATTCATTTATTTATTATATGTTTCTTTTTTTTTTGCAAACCTCTTTTAAACTAACCCAACCTTTACACAGATGAGGTAATATACATTTTATTTAAATAATCAGGTTCTATGTACAGTAAAAAAAAAATAGTGAACTTCCTCTGTTAGTCTGTTGTTATAAATATATCCAACCAAAACCTCTTTTTTCCTCATTGAAGGAAAAAACTTCAAATTGCATCATATTTTATAAGTGTTTTTAGAGAGTTTCTCAGTTTTTCTTAATCCTGTTCTCCTGAAATACATTATAGCAAACTATGTTATAAAAAAAAAAAACATTTCACATCTATGTTAAACATGTTGTTTATCCCTTGATATCTACATGTATGATATCCGTCATATCAATCCAGATATATAGAAATTTAAATTTCTTTAAAAAAAAAAATGAAATTGAGGTCAAATAGGTCATTAAAGTAAATTATTTCTACACTGCATTTTTCTAGAATAACTTTTTAAAATTTTATTAATCTTGATTCATAAAATTTCAGCTCGTGTATCAGCAGTTCTACAAGCCGAGTTCTTCAGGAGAAGTAGGAACTTTGAGCCAGTTGCGAAATTTTGTTCACAGAATTGATGTCCATGGGGGTGATGAAGTAATTCAAAAATACAGGTATGTGTAATTTTTCATTCTATTGATTACTATCAATGAAATGTAAATTAAGAAATAAACTAAAATTTCAGTAACACTGAATAGCAATAGAAAAAAACCCAAGAAATGAAAAAAAGAAAGAAAGAAAGAAAGAAACAAGACTTGTGAAGATTGTGCCTCCACCAGAGCTTACAGTCACATTCATTTATGCATCATGATTGTTTGGCCAGAATTAAGTTTCCTTGCACAAACACACAGACAATCTTTGATTTATAAAAAGGAACCTAACTGTAAGGTTTCATAAAGCAGTTACTTTTATTTCATGTTTGAAGGAAACAATTTTTTTTTTAAATTTTAAATTATTTTAGAGCTCACTATGCATTTTCGATTGACTGCTTAGATGTTTTGATCACAGGAGCATGCCTACATCTTCTTGAAATGGAGAACTTAGATTCCAAACCAAACCGGAAGCAAGAGCTTTTTGAGTCTCATTCTACAGATGACAAGTACAAATTTCTCCGGCAAATTGCCAAGGATATACTAGATAGATATGTAAACCTTAATCCAGGTAAGATACTTTTTAAAGCTGAATTAGGTCCTTTGTCATGGTGCATAATACCTTGAGAATACTTAGTATCACGATTACCTCACAGTTATCTAATTACTGTCGCTCTTTTGTGACAGAGTCAAGGAAGCTATAAATCTCGCAAGATTACCGGGGCATTATATTGTTTACAGTAGTTACAATCGAATGATTCAAACAATCATTATGCCGAAATAGCTATGTATTGCCGAGGGTTGAACTCAAAATAGGTTGTCTAATTAAGAATGTTTGGAGTATTTTATCAGTTTCCAAAAGTAACGATTTTCAGAAAGAAATGGTTGAATTTAATTAAAAGAGTAAGCTTAATGAAATGTATCATAAAAAATATAAAACATGAGGACTAGCTCCTCTAAAATTTTATTAGGGGTTCAGCAAGTGTTCAGCAAGATATTTCACCATGCATTCTTTCTTATCTGTCCTTATAAAATCCACAGTGATCGATCTCGCACTCTATTCAATAACACATTGGCCCCAGCCAACAGATGTTTCCTACCTCCACTATGAAAGAGTTCCATTAAGTAATCGTGATATCAAGTATTCTAGTATTAAGCAGGCATGTTATCATGTGTACTGGAGTTATAGAGTAGGGTTTCCTCCATAATAGCACTCCACTTTACTTGTGTCGCATAAAAAAGAATTGTTTTGCAAAAAATATTTTTTGTTTAAATATCAATTAGAAATATATGTACTGTATACAGGGAAATTTTCACCCCTGTTTTATTTTCGCCCCTTTCACCCCAGATGGGCAAATTTTAAAACGGGGGCGAATTCAAAGAATTTGGTATAATTTCTTAAACAAAACTGTGACTGGGCGAATTTAAGACGGGGCAAAATTGTTTACAAGTGTGAAAGGGTGAAAATAACACGGGGTGAAAATAACCCTGTATACAGTAATAATGAGAACCAAAAATTTAAACATATCACTTCCTTGATAAGACTGAGTAAATTTACAGTAGTGAGGTGTTAGACATTTACAACTCTTTTCTTGCATCTTTACTTAATACTCTTTAAATAAATAACCTTTTACTTTTCTTATCTTGGTAGATTTGAGGAGAAAATACAAGAATTAGATGTCCAAAGTCAACAAATCAAAGACATGTTTGATCATAGACTGCAAAAGTACATCTGTGTATCTTGTGAAAAACAGTACAAAAAAGTAGGCCATTTAAAGAGACACTTAAAAGAAAAACACTTGTGGGATTTCACAGAGACTGAAACAGAAGAAGAGGAAAAACCAGATAGAATATCCTTGTACAGGGCTTCACTAATGAAATGTTTGTTATTGCTTAAAGACACCAACGATGGATACAATATGGGAGATGGAGACAGAATCATGATAAATGCTAAGTTTCAGATGTTGCTTTCAGGGGTATGTAACCACACAAAATACCAAATCTGGTTATTTAGATTCTTGGCATATTATCATTGCATTCTGAGTCCCAGAGATGCTCACGAATACAAATGGAACTGTACATCAAATCTCTCTGGTGGCACTGGCCACAACATCCCAAACGACAATTTAGTTGAAATAATGGTCCATAGATTAAAAGAAAAACTACGTACACAAGGAGCAAACGTTACATACGAGAGTGCAAGAAAGGCAGCCCTGTCACTTCAAGTACAAGATCAAATTAAACAGAATGCCATGCATGAAATTGCCTTGAAACCAAAAGGAACAACCCGAACTGAGCCATCCAAGAAGACTGATGTTGAATTAATTATAGACCAATTCAAGAAAGCTGAAATTTTTGATTGTGTGCCTGGAAGGCAATTTCAAGCCTTTTCTTCCTTTCAGGACTTATTTTCAAGGGTAAAAGTTGTAGAATTACATAAATGGATTCAAAGCCAGAAGGAAGCATTGTCATATGAGATTGTATAAATGTTAATACCCTGTCATTTATTGGCTATATTCCTACATATGGGCATATGTATTGAATATTGAGGTCACAGTATTAGAATAAGATTTTTAAAAGTGGCACTAAGTGTTTTTCTTATTTTTAGCTATACTCAAACGTGGTTTTTTTTTGGGGGGGGGTCCCCACTTTTTTCTGAGTATATTATTTTGCTATAGTAAATTCTCCTTCAGATGCTGTTTGCCCCCCCCCCCCCCCCCCACACACACCCTTTTTATGTAAGGTAGAGCACACTTGCAAATTCCAGGATTTGGACAGTAAATAAGCCTTTTTTTTTTTTTTTTTTTGCTTGTCAGATAATTTTGGGAAGTTGCCTCCCCCTGGGGTCAGTTTAGTTTTTTTTTTTTTTTTTTTTTTTTGGCTTGTCAGATTTTTTGGGGAAGTTGCCCCCCCCCCCCCCCCCCCAACTTTCGAAACCGTTGCTATGGGCCTGATACTGGTCAGAGATTAGAAGAGCTTATGCAACAGTAAGGCGTCTGTTGCCCATCTATCTGCCTGTAAACAGATGTTCAAAATGTTATTCCTCCTATAGTTTAACATCTCTAATTTCAGTATGACTTAGTACATATCTTTGGAAGTTCACTAAGATATATAATTCTGTATATTGATTTTTTTTATTTCAACAAATTATGTTGCCATGGTTACAAAAAATTGAAATATCTGTGAAATTCTATCAAACGTTACTTCTACAGTTTTTTTTTTCCAATTTCAATAAGATTTGATACTTAAATATGCATGTATTCTTAGATTCACCAGGTACACAACAGTACGCTTGATGTCTCATCAGAGACTTCTGGTTTGACGTATTTTAACAGAGGGAAAATTCAATGGCATATTTGAAGTGGTGTGTGCGTTGTCATCCTTACAGTGACATAGACAAAAAAGACAAAATAACCTTTGAAATAGATCCAGGACTTGGAGCACTTTTAGACTTAATTCATTTTTTGATTATTCATAAAATCAATATTTATTCTAAACTAACTATTGAAATAAAAAAATTAAGAATGAGAATAGGAAACAATTTTAAATATTTTAAATTTTATGTTTTTTCTGTCATCCATAAAATTTTATGCAAATTCTGATTTGTCTAAAATGACTTTATGCTGTTATGGTCAGAAATTTAGATGTATGAATCTTCCATACTCTGGCAACACTTTAATGATATTTTTTCCCTTAAATATGCTAAATGTAAATGAACAAGATGCAAGAAGTGAAAATAAAGTTTGGTATTCTTATATATATTTATTTCAAAAAATCAATCTGACTCCTCAGTGTCCTGAGCAAAATTATACATATCAGAATCACCAACAACATCAGAGATAATTTCACAGATATCTGTTGCAGTATCTGTATACACCAAATGGGGAATTTTCTCATTACATCATCAGGTGTAAAAACTGAGTTGCAATTTTCCACAATCTTTTTAACAACTTCATTTGTTAGCCCATTTAATACTTCAAAATCTATGATACAATCAGTATTGGACATTTGTGATTTATAAAATAGTAACTTATCATGAATGATTTCTTTTTCTCTGTCACTTACAAATCTCTTCATCTCATCTTCATCTTCAGATGATCCACTGTCTTCGTTATCAATTTTTAAACATTCATGTGTCCGAGGACACAGATAACTTTTGCACTTGCATGTTTTTTCACATACATCACAACAGTCATGAAGTGGTAATATTTTCTTGTTATGTAAAATATATGCTTCACAAAGGATTTCATGTCTACATTTATTATCTTTAGCTAATCGAATTAGCTCACTTTCCACTTTTTTAAGTTGATTTTTATTAGTTTTATACAGAATCAATTCATCCGACAACTTTCCGTCCCTTCCCGCCCTCCCCATCTGCTGTACAAATGTATCTAATTTTCTAGGTAATTTGTAATGGACAATATGGTACGCATTGTAGAAATTAACCCCCATACCTGCTGCATTTGTGCAGATAAGAATTCGGATGTTGCCATCCTTGTTCATATCCTCAGATATTATTTCTTTTACTTTTTCATCAGTCTTGCTGTGAAACATTTCAAAAAGTTGACAGTCATTGCCAAAATGTTTGACAAATGTGTAAATTTTGGAGACATCTGAGATACTTTCACAAAAAATTATATGCCTTTCAGTTTGTGCCTTTTGGGTCCTTAAAGCATCGATCAACCATTTAAACACTTTTTCTAAATTGTCAGAATTGGGAATACACATAGATGTTATTTTAATATTTTCACGATCTGGCGAATCTAATATTACTTCGACATTGGTCCGAAAACATAACATTTTCATAATTCTCCTACGCTGACTTGGTCCTGATGTTGCAGTTAAAGCAATCAAAGATGCTTTAGGGCAGAGTGACCTCAATTCCCCTATATTGGAAAATGCCTCTCTAAAAGGTTCGTCATCTTTGTCACCTTCTCCCCTAAAAAGAAATGCTCAGTTATTCCTTTTAAAAATACATTTTTCCCTTTAGCATGAATAAACAATTTGTTTTTTCAATTAGGGATACTTTAACTTATTGATTAATTACTTAAATTAATTTGTTTGGCTCTTTTCTCAGTACATGTTTTAATTTATATTAAATTTAAGGTTTGATTTACTTAACATACCACTGTGTAACCGTATGAGCCTCGTCGACAGCTATTAATTGTAATTTGTTTTGGTATATGTCTGATTTCAGCATCTCTCTCCACTTGCCGTTATTGATGAAGGTCTCCGGGCTACCGAACAAAAAATCAAATAAGCCTTGTTCCACTTCATCAGTCTCTAAGAAATCTTTTCCAATGTACGTTGCTTTAAGTCCTAGAAGTCCAAGTTTTATAGACTGTTCTTTCATTATGCTTAATAATGGGGCGACGATTAAGACACATTTTCCCGGATGTAACACTGGGAAATACTCGTAACTAAGAGACTTCCCACTACCAGTTCTTGTACTTAAAAACACATCTTTCCCATTTTCAATGGCACTTACGCTTTTTACTTGCTTCTCTGTCAACGATTCTATGTTAAATCGATTACAAATCGTCTCGCATTGTTCTACCATGGAGGTCGCCATATTGTTTCAAACGTCATATATATTCACGTATGTTACAGCTATTTTCATTGGACAAATAGTAAAGAGCTTCAAGGGACTTAACTCAATTACGGCGATAGGCGGCGCAATTGAATTTCCCGTATAATAGGACTAAATCTGCCAAGGGTTGTAGAGTAGATTTCGGATCGGAAACCCTTGGCTAGCGAAGATGGTGTGCATCTAACTGAGCTACGGTACAATTAAGTTGACCTTTTTGCACTTAAATTGTAACTCTTTGGTTAATCACTTTAAACGTTATCATGTTTTATCAGATGTAACCATGGCAATGAACATAATCTTTTTTAACGTAAAATAGTTTGAATAATATTTATCATTGAACAAATCATGCAAATTAATGCGCGTAAATTTTTGAATGACCTTTTTGCACTTAAAAAGTCTCATATTTGGGGTATTAAAAAATCTAAATAGGCAATAGAATATTTTCTTGTATCAAACTTTTTACGACTTAAGTGCTGATCGGTCAAAAATATCGAGTAGTTTAAAATAATGAAGAAAAAGTTGGGGTCAGTGATGTAAATTTTGAAATATTGGTCAAAATATGCGATTTTCTGGCAAAAAAAAATGTGTAAATTTTGTCTTGACTTCTTTTTTTATATCTTCATTTCTTGGCAAAGTTTGTTGAGCGAAGGTGTAAATTTTGTTATAAAAATATAAATTGAGACCTATATTTAATATTCCAGGCATATCATAACGGAAAATATTCTCTGAGTAAAAGTATGTGAGGCTAAAGTTCCAAGATATTAAATTTAATAACTGTGTAGATTTGCAGAATTTTCTGCTTAATATCCTTCCACCACAAGAAATAGTCCCTTATAAATCTTGCTTTTTTATCAATTTTTGAGCAGTTTTTTAATTCAATGTTGAACATTTTACATTGTTTAACTTAAATATGTTATAAAGGTTGAATTGTAATAAATAGTTTTTAAGTAAGAGGTTCTGACTGAACTTTTCTAAAAGGCTGACGAGTGACATACCTTAATTTATTTTTAAAAACAATTCCTACATAACAGTTTATGTCATGAAATGTTCATAAAAGTTGTCATCATGTTTAATACTTGGTAATTTATTATTTTTTTCACTCATTTTTATTTTAAGGTATTGGGCTTGCGCATGTTGGCATTATTAATCTTGCTTTCTGCGCGATGCCAACCTGTCACTTATTTAACATTGTTTGCTGGAAAGGAGGGGGGGGGGCTTAATTTACACGGGGAAAGTTTACTGTGACATCACTATAGCAATTCCTCACAATAACAGGAAATGAAATAATTTACGTTTCCAAACTGCATTCATTTTTGTCGCTAGTTAACTCCCACACAGCAAGATATAAAGAAGTCACAGATCGCATGACGTCTTTGACGCATTTTATGTGCAGTGAGAGGCGGATCAAGTAATTTTTTCGGTCACGCTCCACTAGTCCGAAGGTTCATTAAGCCGAAGGCCCACTAGTCCGACGGTCCACAAGTCCGAAGGTTCACTAGTTTGACGGTCCACTATTCCAAAGGTTCATTAGTCCGAAGGCCCACTAGTCAGAAAACCTGATATAGTTCGCAAGTTAAACAATTCAAAGTGTCCGGCTCTATGCAATTGCTCTATCTTCTACCTTAAGAAGTCCTTGTAGTTTGGGGTTAAAATTCGGACCACAAAATATGCAACTAAAAATTATTTATAGAAATTTGAAACTTCCTTCTTATATTAATATTCCATGTATTCCCACATCTCAACCCTTCCTTTCTCCACTGTTGACCGGTCAAGTTGGCCTTTGTCAAATAGTGCGGTATTTGAAAATTATTTGACCAACCACTTTGCACACCATGTAGGCATCACAGATGACCCAAATCAGGAACCAACTCTGATCATTTTTGATGGCCATAAATCCCACATACGACTAACTCTGACAAATTGGGCCCCAAAAGGAATGTGATTTTATTTCTCCTACCACCCCATAGCAGTCAAATTACCCAGCCTCTTGATGTAGCCATACTTGGTCCGCTGAAAAATATGTATTATAGGGAATGTTCGACCTATATGCAACAAAATCCTGGAGCCAACATTACTAAATGTGAAATAGGAAAATTGAGCAACAAGCCCTATCTAAATGCAATGTCGCCAGATAACCCTGTTTCCTCTTTCAGGAAAACTGGAATTTTCCCACTGCTACCAGACATTTTTGAAGCACCACCGGGAACAACAGCACCTGCAACCACGTATGCCAATGATGAAATGCAGCCGACTCTGCCAGTAGACACAGAGCTGATGGGTGAGGGAGTTGCACAACCAACCACATACAGAGAACACAATAAAAAAAATAATCCTTCTGCCTTTTTTGAAAGTAGAACAATCAAAAAAGAATCTGTGAAAAAAGTAAGAAGTTTGTACTACCATTTCTTGCTGGAAATCTTTTGAAGGAATCTAATATTCAAGTTTTGGAAACATAAAAAGCAAAAATTAGAAAAAGAAAAAAAATATCAAAAGGGAAAGGCAAAGCAGTGGTACATTTCTTGCTGGAAATCTTTTGAAGGGATCTAATATTCAAGTTATGGAAACATAAAAAGCAAAAATTAGAAGAAGAAAAAAAATATCAAAAGGGAAAGGCAAAGCACTAGATAAGGGAAAACTTCAGCAACTTCAAATTGTTTGAGTCCCAAACCAGGAACATCTGGCATTCAAAGCAAAACATCTGGTCCAATACCTGTAGATACTTCAGATGATGATAATTTTACGGATGACGACGAAGTATGTTGTATTTGCAACAAATGGCAACCTGAGGAACTTTCACACAGGCAGGAATCAGTTTTGTTAGTTGGGGACAATGTGGCATTTGTGGACATTTGAACCATCTTAAATTTTGTTCTGAAGTAAATGTTCTCCGGAGAGGAAGTAAATTCAAATGTCCACATTGTGTTTAAACAATTTAATAATAATAAGATGAACTCAAAGTTTAAATGTTTGCAAATTTAATTTCAATTCCTTTTTTAAAAGTGATATTATATTTAATTAAACAAAAAATAAAATAAATACCTAATAACTGAACCAGGTTTCCATACATTCAGTACCGCGATACAATGGAACTCTCCCAATTTGAAAGGTAAATTAGACTACTGTGTTTTAACAAGAGGCCCAAGGGCCTTAACGGTCACCTGAGTATTATACAGCACTAAAGGATCCATGGAAGTATAAAACAAAATTAACTGATAGACAAAGCAATGTTGCTAAAGAATTTCAAACATAGGTAATCAAAGATTATAAAGCTCACCTCGACAAATGTTATCTATAAGTAAGGCAAATCTCACATCATATTTTTTTCTAGTTAGTATACATCCCAAGATCAATATCCATGCAAGTTTGGTTTAAGTAAGACTTGGAAAAAGACCTGCTCCAAAACCTTTAACTTGGTCACTCATCTGGAAAATCTAGGTCAGATCCAGCATCCGAAGCAAGTGTGGTAGTGTCCATCCCTAGATGCATCATCCATGCAAGTTTGGTTCAGGTAAGGCTTATAGTTACTTGGGAGTGGACTTGCTCCTAAAACTTTAACCGGGACGCCAACGTCGGAGGTATAACATGAGCTCATCTCGACTTCGTCGAAGTGAGCTAAAAATCTGGTAAAAATACCCTTGCTTATTGTAATGTGCTAGACCCGATTGATCTCCTTTGGATCATACTTGGTTTTCCCAAGTCTTACAGGGATGATAATGAATGAAAAATATTCAAATACAAAGAACACTTGCCTATTGTGTAAGGTATTCAATATATACAGATTTTTTTTTTGTCACTTGCCTAGTGCTACAATTCAGTACACACAGACTTGGGTATATACAACGTGGTTATTTGCCACTTGTCACTAATTACAATAAGTCACTGGCTCTCTGCGATTCTTTGTTCACTTTGATAAAGTATAAAACAACATCCAGTCTCCTGTCAACCACAACTCCTCTACAAGTGACACTAACTTAGATCACCACATAGTATACATACTGTGTACAATTACAACTTTTGCTAAATATATAAATAATCTTTATGTCAATCTTTTATACTGCTTTCCAGGCAAGAATCTGACTTTGAGCATACTTTGCTCATTTAAACCAAACATTCATTTTATTTTGTTTCTATATATATATATAATATTCTTTCCTGTATTCTCATTCAATCAAATAACCTGTTAATTAAATTATATAGAAGGATTTCTTGATTAACAATATTTAGCAAAGGGGAGTAACTCTCATTTGCTTCACATCACAATTGTGTATTCTGTCCTAGATAACCACAAGTAAAGAAAAGGCACATTTACTTATAATTAAATTTAATACATGTATTTACATTGATATTATTGCATTTAGCTTGTTTGCTTAGTACTCAGGGGCAGAGGAGAAGTTTTTCAAAGCATTAATGCATTTTGCTAATTAATCAATAGAACCCCACCCAAGCTCAAGAACACCTGACCCATGGGCCATGAAATTCAAAATTTTGGAAGAGGCATCCTTTCTCATCATAACTATGCATTTAGTTTGTTTAATTAATACCATGGGGCAGAGGAGAAGATTTTCAAAACATTAATTTATTTTCAGTATATAATAAATAACCCCCCCCCCCCCAACACGGAACCCCTCACCAAGAAGGGCCATGAAATTCACAATTTTGGAAGAGGCACTCTTGCTCATCATAATTATGTACTTAATTCATCGGCTTAATACCCAGGAGCAGAGGAGAAGATTTTCAAAGAATTAATGCATTTTCACTATATATTCATTAGAACCCCGCCCTAACACCAGAACCCCTGACCCAGGGGCCATGAAATTCACAATTTTTGAAGAGGCACTCTTGCTCATCATGAGTATGTACATAATTCATTGGCTTAATACCCAGGAGCAGAGGAGAAGATTTTCAAAGAATTAATGCATTTTCACTATATATTCATTAGAGCCCCGCCCTAACACCAGAACCCCTGACCCAAGGGCCATGAA